CACATCGGCTGCGGGCCGCCACCGTCAGCCAAGCAGAGGGCGCAGCCTCCTCGGCCGTGTAAACCTGCGGCTAGCGGCTGCGCGGCAGCGCGCGCCGCTCGCGGCGCCTGCGCCGCGGCATCGTCCGCCGCGCCGAACGCTGCATGCGGTTCTGCGCCCGCTGCGACAGCCTGCGCACCTCCGCCGCCGAGACCGTCGGGTCGCGGCAGATGACGTTCCGACGCCCGACGTCTAGGGAGGCTGCCGTCTCGTTGAGGAGGCCCGCCGCAATGGCGGGCGCGACCAGCGCCAGCCTCGCGACGACCCCGGGGATCGCTGCGCGCAGAAACGGGCCCCTCTTGCCGTCCAGGGCGGCGGAGACCTCGCGCGTGCACGCGACGTCGCCGGCCACGTCCTCGAGGGAGTCCGAGTCGCCTCCAGCGCCAGCACGAGGAAGACCACCGTTCTCATGAACAGTTCCAGCCGCAGGGGCCGCAGAGCCGCGGGCCTCCTGCGCGGCCGCGCACGCCGCGGCCGTGGCCATCGCCCGGCTGGCATCCAGCGCGCGGCCCAGCTCCGCTTGGAGGCGCGCGCACTGCCCTTCGAGGTCGGTCACCCGCGCGAGGGCCGCCTGCGGCCGCCCAGCGCAGGCAGCGCGAGCCGCCGCCTGCCTGGCGCGCCGCAGCGGCCAGGGCGAGCCACCGTCGCCTCCAGCGGGCCCGGGCTGCTCCGCTGCCTGAACGGCAACCACGCAGCCAGCCGCAGCCATCGCCAATGCCGCGAGGAAGGGGGAAGGAGACTGAACCGCTCTCTGCGCCTGCCGAGACGACAGGACAACAGCGCGAGGCACGCCGCGCACCTCCCGCCTGAGATCTTCAGTGGAGCTCCTTATGAGGCCACAGAACGCTACACTGGGTGTGGCGGACGCATGCGGGCCGCCCCACTGGGACCTTCGGTGGAGCCCCCATATGAGGCCACAGAGCGCTGTACTGGGCGTGGCGGGCGCATGCGGGCGGTCCCTCTGGGACTTGGGGTGGAGCTCCCTATGGGGCCACGGAGCGCTGTACTGGGTGTGGCGGCCGCACGCGGGCGGTCCCATTGGGAGTTTTGGTGGAGCTCCCTATGGGGCCACGGAGCGCTGTATTGGGCGCGGCGGACGCATGCGGGCGGTCCCAATGGGAGTTTTGGTGGAGCTCCCGCAACGTGTGGGGGGTGTGCCAAAATGGGTGCGTGGGCGCATGCGAACGGTGGCATGTGGGCCTCCGGTGGGGCTCTTTGTGGGGCCACGAAGCGTGTGCAGGGTGTGCCAAACTGAGGGGGGTGACTGGAGGGGGGGGACGAGGGAGGGGAGGATGAGAGGAGTGACGCGGGGCGCTGTCTCTTCAAAACGAGGACCCAACACCACAGGATCGTGGGGACAAACAGATACATTGCGCGTTCGTGCACCGCGGGCGCCAACCACCGTGCGCGTTTGTTTTTGTTTGCGGGTCTGGGAGGCGCAGAAAAAGGCGTTGGGATGGGGGGCCGCTGCGAGCACAATGGGGCTTGCAAAACAACTACTCCTGGCGAAGGACCCAACCAGATGCATTTGTGAGTACCACAATTCCGAATATTTTCGTCGGTGGATGGGGCCACGAAACGCTGCACTGGGTGGGGGGAACGCACGCGGGCGGTAACACTGGGGCCGTCGGTGGAGCTCTGTATGGGGCCACGAAGCGCTGTACTGTGTGGGGGGACGCATGCGGGCGGTAGCTAGGGCCGTCGGTGAGGTTCCCCACGGGGCCACGAAACGCTGTACTGGGTGGGGGGGACGCATGCGGGCGGTAGCAGTGGGACCTTCGGTGGAGCTTCTTATGGGGCCACGAAACGCTGTATTGGGCGGGGGGGGACGCATGCGGGCGGTAACACTGGGGCCATCGGTGGAGCTCCGTATGGGGCAACGAAGTGCTGTACTGGGCGGGGGGGTGGGGGCGCATGCGGGCGGTAGCACTGGGGCAGTCGGTGGAGTTCCCTGTGTGGGGGGGGGGACGTATACGGGCGGTAGCACTGGGGCCATCGGTGGGGCTCCCTATGGGGCCACGAAAAGGTGTACTGCGTGGAGGGGACGCAAGCGGGCGGTAGCACTGGGACCTTCGGTGGAACTCCTTACGGGGCCATGAAAACGCTGTATTGGGTGGGGGTGCGCATACGGGCGGTAGCACTGGAGGCTTTCGGTGGAGCTTCTTATGGGGCAACGAAACCATGCATTGGGTGAGGGGGCGCATGCGGGCGGTAGCACTGGGGCCTTCGGTGGATCTTCCTATGGGGCCACGCAGCGCTGTATTGTGTGGGGGGAAGGACGCATGCGGGCGGTAACCATTGGGGCCTACGGTGGGGCTCCCCATGGGGGCACGAAGCGCTGTACTGTGTGGGGGGACGCATGCTGGCGGTAGCACTGGGACCTTCGGTGGAGCTCCTTACGGGGCCATGAAACGCTGTATTGGGTGGGGGTGCGCATACGGGCGGTAGCACTGGGGGCTTTCGGTTGAGCTTCTTATGGGGCAACGAAACCATGTATTGGGTGGGGGGGCGCATGCGGGCGGTAGCACTGGGGCCTTCGGTGGATCTTCCTATGGGGCCACGAAGCGCTGTATTGTGTGGGGGGACGCATGCGGGCGGTAACCATTGGGGTCCTCGGTGGGGCTCCCCATGGGGCCACGAAGCGCTGTACTGTGTGGGGGGACGCATGCGGGCGGTAGCACTGGGACCTTCGGTGGAGCTCCTTACGGGGCCATGAAACGCTGTACTGGGTGGGGGTGCGCATACGGGCGGTAGCACTGGGGCCTTCGGTGGAGTTTCCTATGGGGCCACGAAGCGTATGAGGGGTGTGTTGAAACGGGTGATGACAATGATGGTGAGAGGAGGGCGGAAGGGGGCAGCGGGAGGAGTGAACGCTGGGAAAAATCAGTACAACAACAGTAACAAGTGCACAGTGTTTCCTTGTATCCCAGGTCAGCAAACAACGAAACAATAAAGCACAGCGCTTCCCCGCACCGAGGGCGCTAGACGCTGTCTAGTATTTATTGCGCGTTGCTACAAAGAGGAGTAGGAGGAGGAGGAGGAGGAGGAGACTTGTCGCGCCGCAGTCGGAGGAGAAGAAGGAAGAGGCGGAAACGGAGGAAGAACGGGTGAGGAGGAGAAGGAGGAGGAGGAGAAGGATGACGACGATGAGCGAGCGATCAGCGAAGGTTTTGTGGTTATGGCGATTGGGGGGGGGGGGGGCGACCACTTGTATATACTATTATATACACATGTATATGCAGGTGTGACTATACATGCAATGTACACGTAATGGAACATGTAAGTGCACATGTACACGTACATTGTATATGGATTTGTATATGTTTACATGTATGTGTATGTGTCTGTGTCTGTGTCTGTGTCTATGTATATGTATGTGTACGTACATGTGTGTACATGTATGTGTACATGCATATGTATATGTATATGTGTATGTGTATGTATAGTGCTATGTATGATTATATGTATGTATGTGCGTGTGTCGCATAGCAGTGTGGTGCGAGCATTGTGATGTAAGCTGCGTGGTCCAAGCGATGTGGCCGCAGGGCGCACGAGGCGCCCACGAGGCGGCCACCGGCGAGCACGAGGCGACGCCTCGGCACTCCCACCCGGCGCGCGAGGCGCCCACGAGGCGCCCACGAGGCGGGCACCCGGCGAAGCCTCGGCACACCCGCCCAGCGCACGAGGCGCCCACGAGGCGGGCACGAGGCGCCCACCAGGCGAAGCCCCGGCACGCTCACCCAGCGCACGAGGCGCCCAGGAGGCGGGCACCAGGCGAGGAGTCTCCACGCCCGCCCGGGCGCACGAGGCTTTCAGGAGGCGACCTGGGGCGGGCACCGGGCGAAGCCTCGGCGAGCCCGCCCCGCGCACGAGGCGCCCACGAGGCGACGGCGGGCGGGCAGCAGCCGAAAACTCGGGGCATCCGCCACACACGAGGCGCCCGCGGCACACCCAACTACGGTAGGTTCGCGTCGTGTCGACCGGCGGCGACCCCGCCGCCGACGTTCAACGTTGAACGCCGACGGCGGCCCAGAATCGGTCGATGTTGAACGATTGGACGTTGCGGAGACGGCCGATCGTTCAAGGTTGAACGATCCCTGCGGTGTCAAAAACCAACGCTGGGGTCGGCACGACACGAACCTGCCGTATGTACCTGAAGTATGCTTTCGAAAGATTTTGGCATTTGCGCCTTGTCGGCCTTCCGACTGCCCAAGACGGCGCAAGAGGTCACCAAGGCCGCCAAGATCGGCCAAGAGGCCTCCAGGATGGCCGCATGACGTCCCGAGAGGCCTCCAAGACGGCGACCTCCAAGACGTCCAAGACACTCTCCACGACGGCCCTGAAGCGCCCCAAGCGAGCCCCAAGTCGGGCCCATACGTGCAAGCACTGTCTGGGGAGGTCCTGCCTGCCAGCGTGGAGCCCGAGCTGTACGTTCCTGCGCGGTGGACGCACAAGCTACGAGGTGCAGGCTGCGTGGTGCAGGCTTGGGGGCGCAGTCTATGGCATGCAGGGGTTGCGGTGTGGGGCTACGCGGAACAGGCTACGTGGTGCACGCCGTGCGCCCACAACGTGCCGGTGTAAGCTGTGTGGTGCCGGCTGCGTGGGAAAGTCTGTGCGGCGTAGGCTATGCGGCCGCGCTGCGCACGAGGCGCCCACGACCCGACCACGGGCGGGCAGCAGGCGAAGCCTCGGCTGACCCACCCAGAGCACGAGGCGCCCCCGAGGCGCCCACGGCCGGGCACCCGGCGAAGCCCCGGCTGACCCATTCAGCGCACGAGGCGCACACGGGCGGGCACCAGGCGAACTCTCGGCTTACTCATTGTCCCACGAGGCGCCCACGGGGCACCAGGCGAGTTGTCGGCTGACCTATTCCGCTCCCTTCAAGGGCACAGGTAAGGACCCCGAAGTGCCAGCAATGTCTCTAGGGAAAAGGCCGTGGCCGTTTTCTGGCCGTCGCTCAG